AGCCAGCTTCTACCTGGGCCCCCCCCATCCTCTCTGGCCCACCATCACGGTGGCACTCCACCACCTGCTGTCCATAGTGCTTTATTCACACTCTGATTGGTTTCCAAGACAGAATATACAGAATGAGTATATTGACCCATCCCAGTTCCCCAGGTGAAGGGCCTGAGACTTGGCCCCCATAACTGTAGTTGTTCACAAGTTTACATATATGCTTGATCTTAGTACAGAACCACACAGATTCTTTGCCTGGTTTGGTTCCTTGCCCAACTGTGAAGATGAAAGTTTTCAAGTAACTGGGGACTTAAAAAGCCACACAGTTGCACAGGGCCACTGAGGCACTTCAGCTGTTTGCTGTGACTTTTATTTCAAAGTGCTCCACTTTAATTAGCCAAATAGACAATCTTCAGCTGAATGGGGAAGCAGTATCCTTTAAAATCCAAGCCAGAGCAAACACATGAGTAGCTCATCCTCAAATTGATAACCTCCTGCAAATTAAGCAGGTTTCAAGCCACAGCAGAACCCAGATCCTCATGTTACCCAAGTTGGGATATGGATGGACACTCCATTTCCTGAAGGCATACTTAGACTGCAGACTCTTAGATAATTCTAGATAATTCACATTATCTAGAATTATGCAGCCCTTAGGGTCCAGCAGTTTTGACAGTGAACTGCACACAGTTTCAAGGTACCCAACTTACATTTTCCTGGCCAGAGGATGAAGATGGCTCTGCTAAGAGGAGCCTCTGATCAGAGTGGTCGTGGTCATCTTCAGAAACAGACTGCCCTGATGAGTCGGGCATGTGTCCTTTCCTGAGCCGCAGGACTGGCTCTGGAGAACCAGTGTCATCGAGATCCGTTGGTTCATTCATGAGACCCTGGGGGCCTTCTCAAAAAGTATTACGCTTCCTCTTTTGAGACTGGTTTTGCTGACAATGTGATGACTCTGAAAAACAAGTAGAGTTTATGTAACTGAAAGGTTTCCAAAGAAACTGGCTGGCAGGGGGAGAATGTTTTTAGTTTGTGTTACCACAAGCTATTTCATTTAGTTATTAGATTTCTATGCCGCCCTTTTCCAAATGGCTCAGACTGTCTACTTGAAGAAAACAGGTTTCCCTCATCTGTGCCCACGCTCCTGTAGCATCCATAAACACAGAATAGAAACTGAAGTCATCATCTCATACAACTAATAGTTTTTAAGGTTAACTGCCTTAAAAAGAAAACTACACGAGTAATATTTCACCTTCTCTTGTGTCTTTTACCAGGTGACTAAAAGGGAGTGCTATTTTCCAAATGAGTCAACAAGTTCCTCAGCATATCAGTCAATTTACAACACATGAAACAAAACAAACTTTAAATAAATTTTTTATTCACTTCAGAAGAGAGACAGTTTTCAAGCTAAATCTGTGCAGTTAGAAAATAAAAATCAATTTGTCAAGCTCATTCTAGAAACTTCACTGTCCCCCTCCTTCCCCCTGCCCAGGAGAGACATGGCCATTTTTGGCACCCACATAGGAGGTTATAGTGCTTAAGTTATAATTCATTTCTTAGGTTAGAACACAACTCAACACAACACAACACTAGGGCTGCTCCACTGACAACAACTATCTTCACTACATTTTGCTTACCTGTTTCCCCCCCCCCCCCATGTATCATATCTAGACCTATTCTGATGAACCGACTCATAGATATTATAACATACAGCCGCTGCCTGCTGCCCTGGTTGGTTATGGGAGCACATCCACACTAGTTACCATCATTGGGACTGCACCCAATAGCAAAGTAATCTGTAAAGAGAGACTATCATAGACAGATTTAAGTGGCGTGTCTTCCATCACAAAGAGAAGTAAGCCCTTACCTTCCTGGCTCTGAAGAGCTGTTTTGTCTTCTCAGATGTCTATTAAACATTCAGAAGAAAATTTGCACATACAATGTGTTGCAGAAAAAAAGTTGAAAACTTTGAATTCAAGGTACTAGTTTTGTTACGTAAAGTGGCAGGTAGTTAACTGAGGACTCAGGTCAGCCATCACCCTACACCCCACCTGGCCAAGAAGTATTATCTACTGGCTTATTTATCTTCTACATCTACACTAAGAACTGCATGCTAGGCACTTCAGAGCCAAGGTAACAAGAGTCAAAGTACCTAGAGATAAGATAAGCAGGGTGCGTTGTTGGGTTTTTTTTTTTGGGAGGGTGGGGGCAGGACACGACGACAACTTATAAATTAAGTAAGAAGTTCAAAACAAAACTCCTACTGTAATAGCTGAGCAATTAACACACATGTAGTTAGTCATGAGTAAACAACATAATCAAATAGGCTTTAACTTATCACAGGGAGTATATCATTAGATTGGGGTTGTAACCTTAGTGGCTGATGAAACATACTAAGATGATACTTAATTCCCCCTTCTCACATACCTGATTTACCACCCGTTCTGTATTATATTTTAGAACACTTCCCTTAAAAAAAACAAACAAAACGACCCCCCCTCCCCCGACTCAAAGAGTTACATTGCAACATCAGAACTCTCAAGAGAGAAGAAATGCCAGGATTAAAATACTCTGTACCGTACATCAAAAGAAGCAAGCCTAAAAAGATATAGCTTGCTTCACCTAGAAAAAGCATCCCTTGTTTTTAAAGGACTAGGGATATTAGGCTAGGATTATATCTGGCCCATTTAAAGTTAAGAATTCTGCCTGCCACCTCCCTGAGAGTAGGTTTAAGCAGAAAACAAATTTATGTAAACAAGAACCATGAATGTAAACTGCCTCTGCCCAGATTATTGAAACCTCGCCTGCTTCTGCTCTGTGCAAAGCAGCTAATTCTCAATTCTCATGTGCTATACAAGGTGGAATTTTCAGAATATACACGAGAAAGTTTAGAAATAAAGCCGAGAGGAAAACAGTATCAAGTAGTCCATATTGTTTCTAATAACACTTAAAAATTGGGCATCTTGACAAGAGACCATTTTAGAAATTAAAACTGTATTGAAGCATGCTACATAAAAGGAGAACAATAAAACCAAAACTAGTTAGTAAAAAAGTAACAATAAGAATGCACCACACACAAAACAGGGATACTATTCAACATTTCAGCATTTCCCACAAGCTTCAAATAGGCTTTAATGAACACCTTGTAATAGATCTGGCAGCATGTAGATCTGTATAACCCCACAGTGGCCAAACCACAGCTCGTGAGCTGCGTATAGTTTGCCGGCATGATACTTGCAGCTCTTCGGAAATTGGCCAATGCATCTCCCAGAGGCGACTCCAGGGGACAACGCAGCCCAGCACCTCCAGCTGCTCCAGCTTTCCTTGGGGGGAGCATGCCCCAAGCCCTCCCTCCTCTCTTTCCAGGGCTGCCGGGGCGCGGGCTGCAGCCGCACCACATACCACTGTTGTACCTGAATCCTCTTTTCAAGATGACTCAGGAGAGGGCATCAACTTAGCAGACATCCAGATGAGCACCAACACCCCGAAATACTTGCATAGTGACAGAAGCCAGAAGAGAACTCAGGTGCCTTTATGAGAAAGGCAGAAGCATGGGCAGACAGGAAGAACTGGCTCTCCTTCTGACAGACAAGGAATTTGACCTCATTGGGCTGACAAAGACCTGGTGGGATGACATGCACAATTGGGCAGTGGATAGAGGTTCAGCTATAGGTTCCACAGGAAGGATCACATTGGGAAGAAGGAAGGGAGGAGGGGTGGCCCTCTGTGTGAAAGAATGGTATCCCTCCCTGGAGGTCAGGTTTGATAGCAGGGGGAGGTCCCTTGAGACCCTCTGGGAAGGGGGTTCAGGAGAGGAAGACCTGATGGTGGGAGTCTACTACAGGCCTCCCTCCCAAGAAGAGGAGAACAAATCAGGCATTCTCCAAAAGGAACTGGCTCAGGCAGCCAGCACTAAAGACCTGATCGGCATGGGTGACATCAAGTACCCTGATATCTGCTGGGGGGGGACCTTCGGCCAACTCCAGCAGGTCAGCCAATTTCTTGGCAACTACTGATGACCTGTTCCTGTCAGAGGTTGTTGAGGGACCACCATGGGGGGAAACCACTTTGGACTTGGTAGGGGACCTGATGATTGGTGGTATGCTGGGTGACAATGACCATAATCCAATTAGGTTCACCATCCACCAGAAGGCTAGGATTTCAATTAGTATAACAGAAGTCCTAGATTTCAGAAGGGCAGACTTTAACAAACTCACGAGTCTAGTTAGATAGGCCTTCCGTGCCCACCGGCTGGAGGACTTGGGGGAGAAGCCACCATCACTCCTGAACAAGGAAGCAATCCTCTCTGCTCAAAAAGAGACCATAAGATCAAAAAGCAGGAAAGGAGCCAAGAGACCTGCTTGGCTCAGCAGCGATATTAGAGAAC